ACACCATATTAATTTTTGAATATTATTCATGTTATACACTCTTGAAGTTATCCCTTCATTTAATGAGTATTTATAGGCTAAACCAAAAACTCACTGCTGTCGAGCTGATTTGACTCATAGTGAACCCTCCTTGGGTTTCCAAGATGGTATCTCTATGGAAGTAGATTGCCCAATCTTCCTTCCGAGGAGTGGCTGGCGGGTTTGAACCTCTAGCCTTCTGGTTATTAGTCAAATGCCTTTGTAGAGCCTAAAAAGGAGCTTTAGTAGCATAGTGCCTACCCAGAAGGTTGGCAGTTCAAACCCACCAGCCACTCTGCAGAAGGCAGATGGGGCAATCTATTTCCGTAAAGATTTACCATCTTGGAAATCCAACAGGGGTCACTATGAGTCAGAATCGACTTGATTGTAGTGAGTTTGGTTTTTGGTTGAGATTATAAAAGGAAAGCTTTTTATCTCGAAATTAAAAGCCTTTTTGTGGAGGGAGAAAAGTTGAATGAAAACTTTACATTGTTGTAAGCAGTGTAATTAAAGGTATCAGTATTTTCTCAAAATGTTAGAAAATACAAAAAATACAAAATTAGCATGAATAAGAATTTTCTTCACAGAAAAACGAAACTCACTGCCATCAAGTCGATCCCAACTCATAGCTACCCCCATTGGGTTTCCAAGGCTGTAAATCTTTACAAAAGCAGATTGCCTCATCTTCCTTCCACGGAGCAGCTGGTGGGTCTCAACCGCTGGCCTCTGGTTAGCAGCCAAATGCCTTATTCACTATGCTACCAGAGCTCCAAGGAGAGTATAATACAGTTATAAGCCAATATAGTCTGAAAATTCATTCTTTACTGTAAAAAATTTTAACAAAAGTTTAGGAAGAAAGACTGGAACCATGTATCCATACTTTGTTCCTTATATTTTTTTTCTACGCTAAAAGGTAAATTATACCAATAAAGTATTTTCTGCTCTATGGAAATCTAAAGAAAAATAAGTATATTCTAAGAAAAAGACATTAGAAATTAGGTGTACCCAACTGCCAGTAAAATATCTTCTCTCTTATACAATTATAGGTTATAACTCAAAGCTAGGATATGGTGCTCTTAAGGACGCAGAATGGGACTGGAAAGAATCATTAAAATAATCAAGAAGCAGTGGCAGGATGAAGGAGATTAATATTTCTCATATTAATTAATGTTTTTAGTATGAAGACATGAAGGCAGAGATAAAGTTCATAACATGGTGAGAGGCTTGTTTTTTTGTTTTTAAAAGTGAAGACAGATATGTTTATTAACTCCCAGGGCACTGGAATTGGGAGGCGTTCTTTGATTCAAATAAACAAAAGCAGTTCTTCAGTTAATTGATAAGTCTTAAGAAATTAAGTTATCCCAAGACACAAGCTAAATAATAGAACGAGTTTAAAAAAAAAAAGTCCACAGACGCAAATGAATAGGGGTCCTTGCATCATTTAACCTTCTGTAGCTAACATCTGTAAAGATAGTAAGTGGCCTCCCACTGAGGGCCTCCATACAGAATTGCATACACAGTGATTCTATATTATAATCATGCACTTTGCAAGAATGCTGCTTCTGGCTGCCATCTAGATGCAACAACAGGTCTCTCCTCGTCAAGAAGAAAGAAGAAAACCAAAATTAATGGAAACAATCAGTCCTAGCGACTGGTACACCATCCGATCTGCAACCTATAC